ATGTTCCTAACCATCTGTGAAAAAATTGGAGTGGGTCATTCATAACTTTCGCGGCAAACGCCGTTTTCATGCATCAACATCACGCAACCGCGCGTGACCTTGAAAGACAGAGTCAAGACATGCTTGCTTGTGTACACTTTCTGAAATGAATGATTGCTGATTAGTGATATCCCAAACTCTGCGAGAATGGAAATGCATAGTCATCGTAGTCAAGCATTCACGTTCCATAGTAAAAGTGTCTCAGGCAAACGGTATTTTGCGGTGAATTTTGGGCCGTGTGGAAATGCATCATGAAGTAAATTCAACAAAAACATTATCACGCAACGATATCTTCACGTCTTTTGATCTTCACTATACGAAAGAACATACATTTTTTTAGCATGTATGGGGAATTTCTAGTTAATCCAATAATAAATATGGCAGTTAGAGGCCTCAGCTAAGAGTAACATGTCGCCGGCTGAGGCGGGCTCGGCCGATGCGGGAAACGCAGCATTGCGGCAGCAATCACAATTTTGTGTTTACACGTTCATATTTCAATTGTTTACCAACTGATTTTCAAAATTCTTTCACCATAAGATTGCCTGTACATTTCTTAGTCTTCTCACAAAATTTGACGCGAATCGAACGTAATCAGCGGTAGGGAGCGCGATGTAAAGACGGAACCGTTCCGTTCCGTCCCGGCACAGTCTACAATTCAGGCGGCGCGTAGCGGTCGGCGCCGGCTGCCGAGTCGCCGCGTCGCTGCGGCGACAGAATGTTAACTTTACACCGCTATTACTAGAACAGTTGTGAACCGATTTTCTTATTGCTTGCACGATGAGATGTCCAATTCAATTCTTGACAGGTAGCCATAATTAATTTCGCATTCATCTTATGAGATATTGGCGAAAAAACAGGAGGGGTGGGCGAAATTCGCTCTTCCCCCTCCACTGCGCATGCTAACATACGTTTACATATGTGCAATTTTCTTCAAAACTTATGAATGGCCCACTCTAATTTTTTTCACAGGTTGTTAACCCGCGCCCCACTGGGGTCTGTGTATAACACGCCCTACTGGGGGGGGGGGGGGGCTATTCATAGCCCCCCCTCCTAACTCCGAAACTACTGGGCCGATCGTCAAAACTCAAACGGCGTCTGATAGCCCCGGAAAAACTGTCGAGCGAAACCTAATTTCATTGATCTGGAGGTCACCGATGACGTCACAGGTCAGGTCAAAGGAAAAATTATTAGCACTTTGGTTTGTTCACATTTTGGGCTCTGGCCGCCGTCTTACAAGTCAGATCAGGCTCATTTTTGGTTTCCACACTCGTGAACAGATGCTCTAGATACCTTGAGGGTACCAAACTTGTACTTTGATTTTCAGGTCAGGGTCAGCCGTCAGGTCATCACAGGTCACGAAAATATTGTATCATGCGTCGGTCACGTGACACATGTTTTATGGTCCATTTAGGCCATAGATTTCGAATTTGATGTCGTCTATGTCATTCGAGGTCATTTTGAGTCGAATTTAGCTTAGGTCAGGTCACTTTCAGGTCAAAAAAGGTCAAATTTTGAAGTTAAAATTTTTCAACAAAAAAGGTGTCTATTGGATGCAGTTGGAGCTCAGGAACACGATGGTGCCATTTATATAAGTGTTCGATGCCAAATACGTACTGAAAAATTGATTTGAAAAATTAATAATTGTGAATTTTTTGCAATAATGCGTACATCTTGGCCATTTTTGAATATATTTAGCTAAAACTTGCTAGAGTTAGTCATAATCATGCGTTCTGTCACATTTATTCCGGTTTTTTCGAAAAGTCAAAAACTTTTTGAAAAAAATATAAAAATATAAATTTTGAATATTATTATATAAAATTTTCGAAATTTTCAAAATTTTGAAAATCCGAGGTAGCAGTTTGATAGCGCGGTTAATTTTGAGTTCTTTCATGCAAAGAAATTGGATCTAGCTTAAAAACTGAGCTCTTGGGAGCGATTGCCGTGGTTCAATGTTTTGCGTCGAAATCGGACGAACATGACGTCACTCTGACGTCATTTCCGGCCGACCTATGGTAGCTACGAAGTTCAAATTTTGACACAAGGTGTCAAATTGATGCAGCCAAAGGTACTGAAAGTTTGGCGTCGATCCGTCAAGCGGTTTGGAAGTTATTGCAGAAAAACGGGAGGGGGGCTATAAATAGCCCCCCAGTGGGGCGCGGGTTAAGAATATGGTAGGCAATAAAATATATGAAAATGAGCCAAATCGAAGGTGACGTGTTTTTTTCTATTTCAATATTCGTGCTTAAGAACAGAGTTAAGCAAATTTCAAGGTCATATATTTAAGTAGGTGCAATTCTAAACAAATGCTTAAGAAATTACCTAAACAGTAAGGTTTATTTCATTCAAATCAAACAAGTACAACCAAAGTTATGATCGTTCAAAAATATAAAGATGCAACATTTTGTAAAAATTTGATGCCCTATCTTTAGAAGACCTGTGGTCAGAATGTGCAAAAAACATCAATGTAATGTCCGGGGCCACACAGGAACTCGCTCACAAATTTATAATAAAATCGCTGATGGTAAGGTGCAAAACAGCCGATTTTTGTTCGATTTGACGTGGAATGCCCCGGACGCCTCCTGTAGAGTGCCATAAATAAAGCCCAGTGCCACCCCAGGCGCCGCGGGTTAGATGTTACGACTAAGAAAATGCACCGGACGGGGAAATGTAACGCATGGAACAGTGCCGTTTTATAAGCTGAAGCACCAGAAGCACCTTAATTAAACCTAGAATGTAGCTATATTTGGTGTTGAAATTGACAGCACCATTGCACAACTACACATGTATTCCTTTTTATCACCTATCTCCTATGCTACACCCATCCCTTTTCGTCAGTGTCGAATAGCTCAGCCCCCAACTCGATGGTCGCGCCATTTTCATTTCCTTGCGTTTTTTGTACCGTTTTATAATAATAGAAACAAATTTTAGCAGCATTAACACTTATGTGAGATGTTCTCCATTCCATTTCTAATGCCACGTCGCTTTCTTTTGAATTAAAATTTTAAGTAGGTAGGTACTGACAATTGTTGATGAATTATGCCGACGAACAAATTACCATGGTCGATATTCGTTTTTTTTTCTTAAATGTCAGCGAATTTTCATCTGAAGGCATCGACTGCGCCCTTCGCGGAACCCAGCTAAATGGTAAAATGCCACTGGGTTCACGCTTCAGCTGGCTGAGAATTCGAGGGCACCTCCAAGCAGATGGCCTTTCTGTTAAGTGAATCGACCAATCGAGCGAATCTTGTAAGCTCTGTAAATCTAAGCGAAGCTTGTAAGCTCTGACACAAATCAGAGCAGAGATAAAATACGCACTGCTGCTCACGTCGTGAAACTTTGACTACAACATCAATTTAACATCATTCACGTAGCTACAACACGGAAGGGAGGAACTTGACTGGCAATATCTTAAAATTAGAGACTTCAGCCTCAGTCTCTTTAAGCAGAGTCGAGTGCCTCAACAGAGCTCGTTGTCCCAATAATTCGACACTTTCAGTGCCGATTGATGAAGTCCATGCTGGAACGAGAGCAACTATTTCGCCTCCAGGCAGGCGGGCTGCTTCGTAATGACCGTTGACACGCCAGTAGAGCACTTCACGGATAGACTTTTTAGGATCCGGCCCGGCCCATATCCGGCAAGTCATATCCAGATCCGCCCATTATCCGCCTTTCTTTGAATATCAGAATCCGGCCCACCCATGGCCCGTATTGCAGCCAAACTTCCAAAAAATATCCGTAATAATCCGTTTCACCAATAACTGGTTTCACCCAAAACTGGACTAACAAATTCAATCTAACGGACCAGACAGCCATACATCTCACAGACCATCATGGTTCCAAAAACCATGCTTATAAACCTAAACCACATGAAAATCACCACATTGGTAAACTAGGTATCATCCTGCCGCTTAACACATTAGGTTAATTTTTAACACCATTGATATCCTCGCTCTTTATAACTAGAAGATCTGACCGTGAGACAAGACAGTCGGATAACCTAGATCTGGTTGCTCCGCGAACAGATTTTATGAAATATTCACTGTCATATCATGGCTCTAAATTGTGGAATAGTTTGCCCACTAGAATGAGGAATGCCTCAAAATTTGAACTGAAAAAGTACCTCCTAGCAAAAGCAAACACTGACAACTGATGATCGTTTCACCCAATGTATGCGAATGTACTCGTATGTGCCCTGCAGTGTACAGTCTGTCTTAAAAGTACCGCGCAAAGTGACGGTGGATCCATCGAGCCTGACTGAGGAAGGGCGTGCTAAATTTGGGTCACCGAAGCAATTGACATCCTCGTCCATTCCTTAGGTCAATTGGTCGGTGACTTTCAAATTAAAACAGACCCTTTCTCGGTCAGGCTTGATGGATCCACCGCCACTTTGCGCGGTACTTTTAAGACAGACTGTACAGTTAAACGTACCAACCATCACTGTTTACCGCATGTGAATTGGCAATGTTCCACTGTAACGCCCACCCGATGATCGTGGTTAGTGGAATAAACGATATAATAATAATAATAATAATAACTTCAATGTTGAATGTTAAAATTTTGATCCGTTTTGATCCGGGTTCAACCTTCAATTCCCAAATCCGGCCCGCCCATATCCGTTCTTTTTTAACAAATTTAGAATCCAATCCTATCCGGTCCGCGGATTTATCCGTGGATAACGGATTTATCCGGCCCATGAAGTGCTCTACACGCCAGGCATTCAGAGTATACATATAAGCGATATAAAATCCCCATCCACTTTTTCCTTATATCCATATTTCAGTCCAGATATGTAGTTTGCAGTCTTGTTTCTTGTGTTGGTGCTGTTAATTATCTTGTCAGCACGACTCTTTAATATTTTTGCATTGTTTCAATATAAGGTGTTGTTACAAAAAGTACACCAGCTCATAGTTTAGTAGATTAGCCGTCCAATTAGCAGGCTGACGTTGCCGTTCTGTTTTCAGTGCCTACAGAAGTGGCCACCCTGGGCGACGCTGCCAGTTCAGCGGTGGCCCCGGAACCGGCTGTCCCCGCCACCGAGCAGACCGTCGTCCCCGCCACAGACGAGCAGACGGCGCACGCCACAGACGAGCCCGCACCCGCCACAGACGAGCAGACGGCGCCCGCCACAGACGAGCAGACGGCGCCCGCCACAGACGAGCAGTCCGCGCCCGCCACCTCCACTGAGGAGACAGCCCCTGCGACCGAGGAGGTTTCCACTACCGCGCCGGAGGCCGGACCCGCCACGGAAGAGACGGTTCCAACTGCCGATGAGGCCGTTCCTGCCATCGAGGAGATCGTTCCTACCACAGTTGAAACAGTACCTGTCAACGAGGACCCGGTTCCAGCCACGGAGGTGACCGCTCCCGCTGCCGGGGAGGCGGCTCCCGCTGCCGGGGAGGCGGCGGCCCCCGTCACTGAGGAGACCGCCGCCCCGCCGGCCGTGGCCGAGCAGTGTCCGCTGGGCGAGCTGCGCTGTCTGGGCGGCCTGTGCATCTCACTGGACCAGGTGTGTGACGGCCGCGCACAGTGTCCGGACGGCGCCGACGAGCTCAACTGCCGCGAGTGAGGCGCCGCGGCCGGCGTCAGCTCACAGCCAGTGAGCGGCGATCGGGAAGGGGGCCTCGGCGAAACGACTCACAGTGCGCCTCTCCTGGTCATTCGGTGCCGGCCGGAGCTGCGCCGCCGCCGGACCGGGAGCGGGGGTGCGCTCCGTCTGACACCCTGCGCCGCCGCCGGACCGGGAGCGGGGGTGCGCTCTGTCCGATACCCTGCGCCGCCGCCGGACCGGGAGCGGGGGTGGGCTCTGACACCCTGCGCCGCGCCGGACCGGGAGCGGGGGTGGGCTCTGTCCGACACCCGGAGCTGCGCCGCCGCCGGACTGGGAGCGGGGATGGGCTCCGTCTGAGAGCGGGGGTGCGCTCTGTCCGACACCCGGCTGCTGCGCCGCTACCTACTGAGCGCCGCGTGAGCTGGCTCACTGAGGGGAGCTCGCTCCTCTCATAGGAGGAGACCAGGGACGGCAGTGTGTCTGATGTGCATGTGTGCGGCATGTGGCTGGAATGGTTGGAGAGATAGATCTAAGCCGATGTCGGCCAGAGAAGGATTGTGTTCACCGCCGGCGCCGGCCGGCCGCGAGTGCTTGGCGATCACTGTCGGCTGTCACCAGTAGTGACGCTGGTGAGTGACATTGGTGACCTCGGTGTCCGTGGGATGACGAACAGCTGTCTCCACTGAGTGGGTCTGTCACCAGTGGTAGACTCTGCAGTGTTAGTGTTGTCGGACGAGGTCTGTGTTAGACACGGTCTGTGTCAGACGCGGTCTGCTGTCGGGTGCCGGACGCGGTCTGTATCGGATGCAGTCTGTTGTCGCACGCGGGCTCTGCTCGGTTGGTTCGGCAGTTGATAATCGAGTGGTAACCGAGGTGAGCGGCTCGCTCTCGAGTGGATAGCCAGACTAGTCGGCTAGACTCGGTGTCCGCCGCTCCACTCGGTGTCCGCCGCTCCAGTCTGTGTCCGCGGATCCAGTCTGTGTCCGCGGATCCACTCGGTGTCCGCGGCTCCAATCTGTGTCCGCGGCTCCAGTCTGTGACCTGACTCCAGTCAGTGTCCGTGCGGCGTCTGATAGGTATTCCGTCCCGGAGCGCGAGTCGCCTCGTAAGACCGACGCAGTCAAGTTAAATGGTCCGGAACTGCCGCACTGAGACAAAGAACTGAGGAGCTGTGCTGTGATGTCAGTGTAGATGTCTGTCGTTGCACTGTTTGACAGAGGCGTACAGCAGCGTAGCCATTGTGTTGCGGTTTTCGATAGTGTTTACTGGTGCTAGCGTCATCTAGCAAAGAACGTCGTTTTGTTCTACCATTGGGACCACAACTCGTTTGAGGTGGTGTGAAGGATATCATGTTTATCATGGTTTGCTCTTATATTAAATTCATGCTTGTTCATCGGTGTTTAATACATTTCGTAGAACAATGTAGTTCGGGTGCTTATAACAGCGTAATATATCGTCGGCCAGATATCATGCCCGAAGCTCGTCAGACCGAACAAGCCGCTTCCTCGGACCACCACTGAGTGCCAGTCATTACCGTGGTAGAGAACAGATAGGACGGACAGGGAGGACGGGGGGAGGGAGACGGGCAGAGGGAACGGGCAGAGGGAGACGGACAGAGGGAGACGGACAGAGAAACGGGCAGAGGGAGACGGACAGAGGGAACGGGCAGAGGGAATGGGCAGAGGGGCAGACAGAGGGGATGAACCGTGGGACGGGGACGGACAGCGGGAACGGAGTGCGGATAGCGGGGCAGATAGCAGGGCAGACAGCGGGGCGGACAGCGTGGACAGCGGGGACGAACAGGGACAGGGACGGGGACGGTAAAGAGCAGCGGGATGGACTTGATGCCATATTTTCCGCCAGCCAAACGACTTCAGTGCACTTCTAGAACGCTGACAGAGCGTGAGTAACGACACATATTGAATTGCTATTTCTATAAGTCTGACATGAAATTGGACAAGAACACACTCGCTTACAATGCATGCGTCGAAAAAGACGGCGACTCAGCTCTAAAAACTCACCATTGACCAGAAATAGATAGTGGTCCACCTGGCCAGCATTGTCGACTGAAGTGTCAACAAGGACTCCAATCCATGGTCACTGGCGGATCCAGGCTTGCGTTTTGGGGGGGGGGGGCAACTCATGCAGGAGCCAAACCTAGGGTACCCCCAAATCCTGTTTTCTCATCGGATTTAGGCCACTTATTTTTCGTCACAGCCCTGACACTATGAATTTTTTTTTAACTAAAAAGAAAAATATATAAATGGTAGCCCACCCGACCCATGCCTTTATATTACTTTGTAAACACTTACCATTGTTTTTATCGACCAGTTAAAGGGACCCTCCCACCTTAACATTAGATTTGAGCTGAGATAGCCAAAATGGGGTCCCTGGCTCACAATTACCGGTTTCGGCACGCACTCACAACATCGAGAAATGCCTTAAATCGGAAATATTGAATTTCAAAATTGCAGCATTTTGATTCAGAGGGGCTAATGCTTTTGGATACCCCTCTGAATGTGTGACGTCAGCGGAGATCTAATGATTTTTTAATATTTTACTAAAACGTTTGGTAGCATGCGGTGGTATAGGCTGCTTTGCGCGCAACAAATGCCGCACTTTCAAATAAAGTCGCTAGGAACAGCAGCGGATATCCCAAAAAGAAAACAAAAATAAAAGTCTAATCTCTTGAAAACCGGTGAATATTTTTCGATAAAATTTGGTAGATATTCGTTTTCGCCCTTTCTGAACCTAGCGACATCACTTTCATGCCAATTCATTAACTTTTTTGAAGGTGGGAGGGTCCCGCTTCGAGTCAGTGCTTGGGTCCCTTTGCGGGCCGGAGGTGGTAAAACAGCCCTGTCTAACTCGGCTCCTGGGCCACGCCCTGATTGAACTATGTTTCATTATCGTTTGGGGGAGGGGGAAAACGGGCCACTTTAGGCCTCTGGGAAGGGGGCATGGCCCTAAATGCCCCCTCCCTGGATCCGCCAGTGTAAGAAGAGACCATTGGAGCTGCAGTTGGGTACCTCAGACATCAGGGTACGCCTTCAGATGTATGTATAGGGCTCGCATGGAGACCTCTTATGCTATAGTGTACTGAAAGGACCCAAAGGAGCCTGTCTATATGGGCTCCCGGAGATAGACGTGGGCCCTCAGGAGCCCGCCAGAGCCCCAATGAGGGATAAGTGAGGGATACCAAGTGCCTGCAATTGCATATTGCATAAGCCATAACGCCTTTACAAATCAATATACTAGATGCCGGCAGCGCTCTTGCGTTGCCTTGGGCCAGAATTGGAGGAACGGTACTGAGGGCACACACCGGGCCAAACCACCGAAACCCAGACTGAGCTTGGACTGAACCTGAAACCAAACGAAACATCCCAAAAATGCTTCGAAGCACGTGAGATTGGTGCGGATATCTTCCTACAGTATGGTATGAATTAACTGCACGTGCATGGTTCATGTCCCAGGCACCCCAGTGCAGTCATTTTCATAACATCATGTAGCGTGTGTCTAGTTCTATCAGTGTACCGACTTTTGTGTCGCTAGATCGACGTTTCCCGGGATCAGAAGATCCCTAGTCAAAACCGTTATCCGCCCCCCGCACGCGCAGCTTGCACCCCTGGGATATTATCTCGCCGGAATGTTACGACTCAATGTATTCTTCTTATGACCTGCAAGTTTTGAACCAGTTAGAGCGGCCGTTTACCCTGCAGGCGTGGCAACGCACGAAGGGGTGCAATCGGCTTGCACGTACCTAGCTCGTGCAACACAGAGTTTAGCTCAACCAAATGTGCACTATTTTGGAGGCCTTGCCTGAGACTACCATTGAACCGATTTTGAGGTTGATAGCTCAAAATTTCTTTGAGCCAGAGGACCTCACGTCAAAACGGTTTTCCGCCCCCAGCACGTGCAGCCTGCACCCCTCGCAGACGGTGACCCCCCTGGAAACTGGTTCAAGGTGTTACCGATGTGTCCCGCCAGTGTGGCTTTGTCCGTGACCTCGGGTTGACCTGTAGCCTTGACAAAAAATTTCGTGTCACCGAAACTTTGAAGCGGAATAGCATGTGCCACGAAGCACTGAGCGAACCGAGGCCAGTACCAAAAGTTTACCTCGCCGGAGACGAGTCAAACAGTCCCACTTTCGTCCCGATCGGTCCACCCATTTTGACTCCAGGTCCAAAAAGGCTTGGACAAACTCACATACTCACTCACATACTCACTCACATACTGACAAACAGGCTTGGCCGAACTTTTCTTCAGCGACCCACCAATGGGAATTTCCGGATGCAAAAGCATGCTATCGCATGCTTTTGATCCTCCAATTCTGGATTATGCATCAGTGGCAGATCCAAGGGGGGCCACATGGGTCATGACCCCCTTGGTGCCCGGGGGCACCACAGGCCTGTCAGGGGCACCACCGGCCTAGTAGGGGCACCACCAGCCCGCCAGGGGCACCACAGGCCTAGCAAGGGCACCACGGGCCTGTGAGGGGCCCCACAGGCTTGTCAGGGGCACCCCAGGTCTGTCAGGGACACCAGAGACCTGCCAGGGGCGCCGCCGGCCTCGCAGGGGCACCATGGGCCTGTCAGGGACACCAGAGGCCTAGCAGGGGTACCACAGGCCTTACAGGGGCACCACCGGTCTTGCAGGGGCACCTTGGGCCTGTCAGGGGCACCACAGTCCTGTCAGGGCCCAGGGGCACCAGCGGCCTAGCAGGGGCACCACAGGCCTGCCAGGGGCACCACCGGTCTAGCAGGGGCACCATGGGCCTGTCAGGGGCCCCACCGGCCTCGCAGGGGGCATCACCGGCCTCGCAGGCATCACGGCATCACGCAGGGGCACCTTGGGCCTGTCGGGGGCATCACGGGCCTGTTGGGGGCACTTTAGGCTTGTCAGGGGCACCACAGTCCTGTCAGGTCCCAGGGGCATCAGCAACCTAGCAGGGGCACCCTAGGCCCGCCAGAGGTACAGCCCACCGCTAAAGTAATGTAGGGTTTTACCAAACTCAACGGTTGGCTTTGACTGGCGATTGTTTAATGCGAAGTGATTGAAAAGAAGATGTCAATAGCTAAAGTTGCAGCTGCAAGGGTGACGATACATATAAGCTACATTCAAAGTTTCATTGTAGTCTGGCTAATCGTTCCTAAGCTTCAGAAGCAGAACATACCCATGACTGAAACCCCACATTACTTCTGCTGTGGACTGTACCACAGGCCTGCCAGCGTCCAGGGGCACCACAGGCCTAGCAAGGGCACCACGGGCCTGTCAGGGGCACCTCAGGCTCCCGTGCCCCCCCCCCTCCCCCCAGATCCGCCAGTGATGCCACACCACGCGAAACACCGCCAACTACCAGCTGCCGCGCCATAAACACGTGCCAACAACAGTCTTTTTTTTTAAGGTCGACTCCGCTCGCGCAACTTTTGACTGACCCTCACTGCTACTATATTGCTTCCATATTATGCTGTGGAAAGCTTTACTTCACCAAGTGGCTAAAAACCTCCATCAAGGTATATTTTCTTAGCAATTTTTCTGGCGTTTTTTGGGGGGGGGGCAAAACAGGCCACTTTAGGCCTTTGGGGGGGGCCATGGCCCCCGTGCCCCCCCCCCTGGATCCGCCAGTGTCCATGGTTAGCATTTTGAACGATTGTTATAAAATTTGTGGACTGTGATTGGGGAAGGGGTGCTAGACATGCTGGCGTTTAGCATCGAGTATTGCGAGTATGTGAACGAGCCAACCGCGAAGTGGTAAGCGTTGAGCATGCCACCTGTAGGTTCACGCGTATTTCACTACCTATACTGGAGGGCATTCTAACAACAAAATCCGCTAGTTACCAGCACGGCGCTACTAGCGGGCCCACCAGCGACGTCCGTGTTTCTCTCTCAAATTTTAAACGTCATCGCTGTGATGCAGACTGCAGTAAATCACTTCAGTAGCTCCACGACTGTTCACAAAGTTGGGGTGCGGTCAGATCCGCAGGCAGTCGCAGGGGGACACGGTGCTCCACCACATTCCACAGAGTGATTACTGATTGTGGTGAACAAGGTGACCAACTCCCCGCAATGAGTCGGGTGGACACGGTGCTCCACATTCCACAGTCGGGTGGACACGGTGCTCCACATTCCACAGTCAGGTGGACACGGTGATCCGCAGAGAGGTGCAAAACGAGTTCTGTCCGTTGAGTAAAAATGCTCCGGTGGAAGGAGCCCAGCCGGGAAAATGGAGTATCACCCTCGTATCACGCAATGGTTCCCAGTCATCAGAAACGCACGGGGAAAGCAGCCCGCCGAAACACTGGGTGAGATTATCTTAAAGAATCTTGGGTGAGATAACCAATGCATGGCGAGGACAATCTGACATGATTCATACATGATCGGCGTCATGCAAACCGCGACAAAATAAAACTTAATGTTGTATCTTGATCCCGGCGCGGTGATTGATGTGTGATTGAGAAAGAACAATATGTAATCATAAATGTAGTTTTTATTCAGAACGTTGAATGCAGGTACGCATTTACATTCACAATATTCGCATGTATATTTGGGCTGACAATCCGTAAAAAATGTCAGTACCAGGCTGTTACGTGTTCAGACACTCACCGCACCAAGTGAGCACAAAAGCGGGTAGGTAAATACATACCTACTGCAAGGTATATGGGAGAACTATTCACAATGGTATCTATTCACATGACACTGGAAATGGGTCGCCATTTTTGGTAGATGTCAGTTGAGCCAGCCCAGCTGTCTCTCGTCATAAATCACACGCGACATAAGAACAATGCATCAATGTTGGATACATAACTCGATTCCTATGAGACTAACGACACTTTAAAAATGATCACTCCTTCCGCTTGCCAGCATGGTTCAAAGTAGCTTTGTAACATTGCCGGAAATCGGCGAGCAGCAACGAACAACGCTAAATGGTATTTAAAAGGGAACGCCTTCAAAGCTCTTATTCTTATCTTTTAACCCTCGCATGTGTGCGGCGTTTGCCAGCTTCTAATGTGTAGGGGGGTCGGTTGGACCCCCCCTTGCCGTTTGGCCCCTGATCGAGCTAGAGCTTCGCGGAAAAAACGAGCGTGTTGCCCGTGACGAGAGGAAGCCGATGATACCCAATTTTAAGGTCCTAGGTCATTGGTTGACCTTCCAGGTCAGGTCAATGACCAAAAGTCGGGAAAATCGGGACCTATTAGAAAGTCGTAAAGTGTGGCTGGTAAGGGGTTTTTCGGGGTGCTGATCACGAATATCGTGTTAGTTTTGATCACAGATGATGTCTTTAAGCATTTAGACCAGGTCGGGTCAGGTCAGGTCAGGTCAACCAGTAGGGGTTGTGACGGGTATTCGTAGTACGTGTCAACCACCTCTGACAGCTTCGTAACATGTTACGAAGGCACCAAAACTACTTCGTAAATGTTCAAATGGTTGCTAAATTCGAATTCAGCTCCAAAAACTAGCCTAGAAACATGTAAAACTCGAAAAAGTGAACCGAGGTCACCAAAGGTCAATGACCTGACCTGACCTTCAGGTGACCTTGAAACCCATTCTAATGCATGGGAGCAACATCAAATCACATGTTTGGACGTTTGAAACCACGAAAAGCTTGCAAACGCGCGGCTAATGCGAGCCGACATACGCGTAATCGCGATTCCGGCCAAACATGGTCTCGGAAAAGAGATCACAGGTCAAAGGTCATTTGGGTCCGGGTCATTAAATTTTCAGGGTAGGTGTAAAATTGATCAATGAGAGGGTACTGAAAGTTTCGTCGCGATCGGCCGCTTTTTACGCGAGTTATTCGCGAAAAACCACGGGGGGGTCCATCCGACCCCCCCCCTCTACACATGCGAGGGTTAAGCTAGTTTATGACCCTTTTATTTAGATATATCGTGTCTATGAGTGCCAGTGGGACACCCACAGCAATAGGTACCTATGTAAGTAGCGCAGAGTACCTACCTAACTAATGAAAGTGGCATTTCTGACAAATATGATACGTGATATCTCCGATTGCAATCGGAATAAAGTATAAACGGTCACTCTTTGGGCTAGGGTCATGAATCAGAGGCCAGTTTTACCAGTTCAGAAAAGTAGCCGCCTGCTGGAATTTTTTGACTTAAGACCGCTTCACATACAGAGCGTAAGCGGTATAGCCCTATCTGCTAATGTGCCCATCGCGTTTACGCTCCGTGTGTGAAGCCGTCTTTAGTCAAAAAATTCCGGCAGGCGGCTATTTTTCTGTTGGTAAAACTGGCCTCTGATCTAAGTTTTTTTTTAAATTGTGGCTGGCTAGTGACTGTAAGTTTTGGAAGCATGCTTAGGAAAGATATATTAGGCACCCATGCCTTGAATCATCGGAGCATACCTAGATAAAAGTTAATTTTACATGTTACCCGTACCCGTATTGAGATGTTGGTCATCTCAAGACTCTGGCTAATTCCGTAGAAGCCAGTGACCAAACGAATCTATTCAAGACATGTTATAATGATCACAAGGTTGAGCGAAAACGTGCTTAAAAATGGTTGGGTTCTCAATTCTAAATAAAGTGACATATTTCGTGAAACTATCAATATCACAACCCGTTTTAGAGCTCACTCACAATCATGTCAACATTACGAATTACGATGAGTTACATCACAGTCACAATTGGTATGTATGTACATTTGCGGATCAGCGGATCGTCACGCACGGCTCACTACATGTATGTATGCTGGTCTAACCAACTGTTATCGCGGAGTCTCGCACTGCTGGCCCGGACCTCAGTGACCGTCCAGTGACCGTCCAGTGACCGTCCAGTGACCGTCCAGTGACCGCCCAGTGACCGTCCAGTGACCATTCAGCGGACTCTGTGACCGTCCAGTGACCGTCCAGTGGACTCCGGGACCGGCTCGCTCCAGCGCCACCGTTCGCCGAGGCGGCCGCCGGCTCCACGTCAGGCGCGGGGGCTTCTCGCGGGCGATGGAACCCACCAGTTTTAGGAGACCGTCTACGGCTACTGCGAGTAACTGCGGCTGCAGCATGGTGCCTGCAAGCCAAATGGCCCGCCCCATCGGGTACGATACACTACGGCGCGCACCCATACGGTTCAGCACGGCACCTATAGGAAAATGATGGTGCACACAAATTGTTCGTCTCTTTGCTTCCGCCATTAATTCTAAATGGTTTCATCTACCTCACCCCCTACCAGCCCGTTTACCTCAGGAACTTGTACATGACGCCAATCAGCAGCACGAACACCAGGCACAGAATCACCACGGTGATCATCTTGGCGAACAGGTTCATGTGCGCCTCGGTCTCGTTAAACGGGTCCCGCCTCTTGTGCCGCATCTCGCCGGCCAGCGAGGGGAACGCCAGTCGCTGGGTGAAGGTGAGCCGCTGCGGCGCCGGGAACGGAAACGTCTCGTCCAGCGCGCCCTTGATGAAGTAGATGGAGCCGCGCTGAGAGCTCAGCGACAGCGTCTGACTGAGCCGCGACAGCGTCGACGGCCGGCGCAGCGCCGCCAGCTCGTGCGAGCGGCTCAGACGCGGGCCGTCGGCGGCGCGCGCCGGCCGCCGGTCGGCGGCGGACGGCAACGAGAGCCGGTTGTCGACGGCCGGCGGCGGCCGCTCGCACCAGCTGCACTCGCTCGCCAGGCTGGACGAACGCCGCGAGAAGGCCGAGCTCCTCCGCGAGCCGCCGGCCGACTCTGCCGAGACCGAGGAGGCGGCCGAGCTGCGCCGCCGGTCGGGCCCGTGCACGGCCGGCTCCAGCCGGTCGGCGGCCGCCCGCCGGCGCTGCAGCAGCACCAGCGACTGGCGGCGCGCGGCGGCCGGCCGCGGCGCGCGCCCAGCGTCGGCCGGCGGCCACAGCTCGTCGGCCAGGTCCAGGCTGACGTGGCTGAGCTGGTCGTCGGCGCGACTGTCGCGGCGGGCGCCGTCCCGCGTCAGCCACACCTTCACAGCCGGCAGCTGCCGCTCCATGGCCACACGGCGTCACACGGCTGCCGCTGCAGATCTGGGCCACATCGCGCTGTCACTCCACCTGCAGCAGATCGATACAGTCGCAGTCAACGTCAAAAATCACGACAGGTGACCGGATGACTCCAGAGGCGGCCATGGATGCCAAGGAGTGCAGACGATCGCCGCGGCAGCCCACCCGTCGGGAGACTCGGCGGCGCTCACGTACCGCGAAAATCGGACATCGGCTGATCCTGGTGCTCAGCAGGGGATCAGTGCAGGGCGGGTAAGTGCGGAGTCGGCGCACGGATCAGGCACGCGCCTTATACGAGTTACGGCGTGCAGCTCGTGGCACCAACAGAGCCACGGCACGTGGCAGCAGCTTTTTTTCTGTCTGCTAGGCTTGATATGGCATTATATCATAACTTCATTTTACATAGCATTATTTGGACACTATCTTATTTACTCTAAATTCAGTCAATTTACGCCAAATTCATATTGCGCAAGTATCACAGTGCAATGAATCTGAGCCAATGGTCAGTGCAGAGGTCAGCGCCTTTACCCAGGTCAGCGTCAGAGGATAGGTAAGCCCACGCCCCACAGGTCAGCGCCCTGACAGAGGTCAGAGGATAGGTAAGCCTACAGGTCAGCATTCTGACAGAGGTCAGAGGTAGATAGGTAAGTCTACAGGTCAGCACCCTGATAGAGGTCAGAGGTAGGTCTACAGGTCAGCGCCCTGACAGAGGTCAGAGGTAAGGGATGCCAGGCCGGCTCTCATCTCTAGCTCGGTGAGCAGTATGTACAGTGGGTCTATTTAAGATCTCCAGAGCCACCACGTGGCGCTATGGTCGGGGTAGGGCGAGTCCAAATCCCGAGGGAAGTGAGGTCACCGGTCATTGTGGGGGAAGGAGGGAGGGGGCGTGACGCGGTATCACGGCGCATGGGGCGTGCGTAGCGCCGGGAGTGGGCCGCCCAGGGCCGCCTGCCACTGCGCCAAGGCTGAGGGGAGGGGATGATGGTTGCGGGTGCGTTCACTCCGGTATGGTGGTATCCTGTTCATGTGGAACCAGCGACTGAAGAATGCGACTGAAGAGAATCATTATCTCAAACAAACGGCCAAGCGAGAGGCAGTGCCAGTTCCAGCCAAAATGTTGAACAATGATAACTGAAATCTAGGACGTATTCATAGCATGCAATTATTCAGTCGATGGTTGCATGAAGTCTTAGGCCCTTTTCTGAACTGTTTTTTTTTTTTAGTTGTATATTTTTTAATTTGGCACGTTCAGTTTTGGTGGGTTTTATCGGGTCCCAAAGAATCAGAATAGAAAACGAAGAGTTGAAATGGCTCCAGAAAATGACCAAAAAATATTTTCTAAAGAAATGAAACTAAGCTTAACATTTATAAGCGACAATTTTGACTTTATTGGGAGGATATTGGGAAAGATATTGGAGGAAAATTTCATCGTGCTTGTCTGTGCTGAAGTAGAAGGAAATGTTTTAGTTCGTGTCTAGATAAAACTAGACCCGGGAGTGGGGCTGCCAGGCGAAGTCAGCAGGGAACCGGCCGTGCGCGGCTATGTGCGGCGCACGTTAACCCTCGCGGGCCCGGGGGGGGGCGTTTTTCGCCCCCCCTGGCGAATATTTGCGATAGCTCCCGAACGATTAGGGATAGGAAGGCGAAACTTTCAGTACCTTTTCTCCCATCCATTTGACATCTTCTGTAGTAAAAAATTTGGACCTAGCCCCCTTGATGACGTCACAAGGTCGATTTTTCTAAACCCCTGCACGGCAAACTTCGGCGTCACAGACGCGAACTTCAAATAGCTGCTAAAAATACAGTTTTAGAGATAAAGACAAATTACGAAAACGGTTGTGTAGCGTTTGACCTAGAGAAAAATAGAAAAATAGTTTCGGTGACCTGAGGTCAGAGGTCAGGTCAACGACCCCGAAATGTGGTTTTAGTTTTTCGCAAATAACTTCGACAAAAATGGTCCTAGAGCTACGGCAGTGGTACCATCGCATTCGCCTTGTCAAGCCGCGTCGAATGATATATATTTTGTTTGGAAAAGGTCAAATTTTATGTTGACCTCATGTGACCTCGAATGACCTTTGGTTGACCTTGACACATCAAAGGTCGTTCATGATGAATTTGTACCCGCTGATCACGAATCTGGCATCTATTTTCCTCTAAGCTTTCATTTAGAGCTTCCGGATGGCAAAATTGTCTTATTTATTATTACTAACTTGAATCAGTGAAATAGCCTCTAGCAAGGATACTCTTCTGTGACCTTGACCTTTGAGCAGCCTTGTATCGTAAGATGAACCACAAATAGGGAACTGATAAGCCTCAAAACATTTCAAAACATTTTGGAAGTTAGCACGCAAGATGTACGAAAAAGTGCAAAGTTTGATGTCAATTTTGGGCGTGACCTTGACCTTGACCTTTGATTATGAGCACATTTTCGGAATCCTCAGATTCTCTTCTTTCGTTTGACACCCAATTTTGCCGGTTTGATGCATCCTGCCGTCCTCTAGAAGGCTTACTTTGAGATCACTACACATGTGCCGGTTTTTGCCTTTGACCTTGACCTCTGACCTTGAAAATTGACCTGAGGTCAAAAATTTTAGGTGCCCTAGAATCGTCTCGTAAGGACCTTTCGTTTGGTATCGCTTTTGTTTGCGTAGCTCCCTTATTTATTGAGTTAGACAGGGGGGGGCGAAAAACGCCCCCCCCCCGGGCTGCGGTGGTTGGGATTACCCCCCGGGCCCGGCCGGGTTTTAACATGGACTCTAAATTCTGTGATAGACCAGGAATTGCTTGATCGGAGGGCAGAGGGCAGGGTCAACGCAACAAGCTCAGCTTAGCGGGGACTCTGTCCTTGTGATTCCTTCCATTCAAAAGGTTCGGGCCAAATTTATATTAAAAAGGGGGAGCCGGACCAGGTTGGGCCGGGTTGAACCAGGTTGGGCCGGGGTCTCACACGCAATCATGGTCAGACAAAACAGAAGCTAATTTCGGGTCAAATATTTTTATTAACTGATCTTATTGTTTTTTTTTTGTTTTTTTTTTTAGCTTACACGCATAATAACTAAGCTTTTTTTAACTCGAGACTTCATGAGCAAAACTGTGGCATTCGTCCACTTTTCATCATCTTCTATTAGCGACTTGATTTGACCTTAATTTGTCTTACATGCAAAAAAATCACCTGCGTGATAATTATTTGCCCAAGGAACGCAAGACGCAAAAAATGCCAGCCGGTCAAAAAACTGACGAACGATACGATCTTTCTAGGGCTTGAATTATATTCAATGAAAATTTCAGGAGACATAAATAATCTTAATCCTATAGCTACTGGGCGCTCGGAGCATTCGCTGGCATTCCTTTGCCAGCTGCATTACCAACATCACATTTGCATTACTTTGGGTGCATCGTAGTTGACAGCAGGTGAACCGGCCACAGCAAACCCATGCCTCATTATCCTTTCCTTCCAAGCAGCCAAGCAGCCAAGCTAACCGGCCGCCCGGCCCACCACCGCGATCTATAGAACAACTCTGGAGTGCGCCATTTGCCTGCGGCAGTGCCCCACCGCGCCGGGGCTGTTTGACAGGTCACCCGCACCGTGACCCCGCCACCCTCCCCCCCCCCCCTCCGCCCACCTCCCCATCGGGCCCAGCTCGGTAGTGACCTCTCCTTGAAATCACATGGACTCGACTAAGGCTCAACGCCATCTACTAGTTACGTCTGGAGATCCTTACTAGATCCACTGTATGTACACTCTGAGCAGTACCTGCCTCACCGCACCGAGAGGATTCAGCGCAGGAATATCCAAATGCGGTTTTATTGAGTGATCTAAGACACAGCAGAGCTCATTGTTTCTAGTTCTTGTGCAAGTGACGCTGTCGGGGCGATGGGAAACTTAGTTTATTAGTCGCCACTCTTATGCAATGTTCAAATGCAAAAGATGAAAGCCATTTGCCTGCGGTAATGGCCAATATTTCAGCCGCGGCCGCCATTCGCGGCCAGCCTTTCCTCATGCTCCGTTTTCCTGAAAAGTACCGAGTCGTAAATTGCGCTGAACTGTTGCTTGGGCTAGTTGTCTATTCTATTGATCCCATGGTAAGCGACTGGCGCTGGCGGCCCATGATCTGGTCTCCATTGGCCGGGCCGTTTGCACTATAGGAGCGCCGGCTGGGGCGACCGACTGTGCCACTCGCCGTCCATGGCCGGCTGACGGTGACAACCACCAGCAGCAGCTCTGAGCGCAGCACTGAGCGAGCAGCAGCCGGCCTCTAACATTACAAACGACTCCAGGGGAGAGCGGGGCAGCATGGGGCACATTCGTTTCCGGCAGTTTATGGGAACACGAGTGGCTGCCCAAGCTAAATGTAAATTATTCTATTGGCTCCTGGCTATACTATTACTATTACTATTCTCCCGGCTCGAAAATGCGGTCCAGCTTTTCAAAATTCACGGCGAAGAAGCTCACTCCATTCATGGAACTGTTGCAAGCTTGTTTGTTAACCATCGCCCTGGCAGGGCATTTTTCATAAACCGGCATGGCAGGGGGGGGGGGGGGTTCTCAAAAATTAAAAAACCCTCAAAAATTAAAAAAATTGTTCTTTCTAGAAAAAAAAAACTCAAAAAAATTCCCAAAAATTATCGAATTTCGAAAAAAAAACGAAACATATGTGATAGTCCCTGCGCTCCAAATTTAACCCGCGCACGACGGGGGAGAGGGCGGATATCCGCCCCACCTGAGGTTTTTCGTGGATAGCGGGAAAACCGCGGCGCGTAGCTCCGCGAAATTTGTTACGAATATTTTCTCATCAATTTTACACATGGTGTGCAAGTTTGAACCTTTTACCTGTTAAGGTCAGGTCGCCAGGTCACTTTGAATAACCCAACCTCAAGTCACTTTTTTGCAACTTTGTCACCGTGCCAGAGCTACAGTAGATGTCGGAGGCCTTTGAAAGTCGCAGGATGTTATTAGGTCATTGGTAGCTACAATTTGTTTATCTCGGCATTTTAATATCGATGACCTAAGGTCAGCTCAATTTCTCGACCTCCCCATTATAAGTCAATGGGGGAAAATCAACTCCTTGTTTTTCCACTAAAACGCTTCGGAATGGCCCCATATACCATACGTGAATTCATATACAATCAACTTTCACTACCTTGAGGCCTGTTTTGCTGTTGGGCAGTTGTAGGGGAAGGAGGGTGAATTGCGCCACCTTAAAGAAAAACGCTAATTGTAA